GAGTCAATGGATCGGAAGTATACTTTTAAGTACTCCGTATAAATAAGTTTTAGAGAAATGAATATTTAATTACTCGATAACAAGTATTTTCTTACTTGAAAATGAGTATTGAGCTACTCGTAAATGAACACCTGCTGTAAATATATAGAAAAATATTGTACAATGTTTATACACGCGTATATATTATCCATGAAAACCGTTAGGGGTACACCAAAGGTGTAAGTCAAATATCCCGCACCCCTTCTTATCCACATAAATTGACAAGAAATTAAAATATAAATAAATAAATAAAAATAAAAAAAAAAGATTGATGGGGAAGATAATTGTTTATCTTCATTATCCATAGGTAACGAAGGATGGGTAAACGAAGCATAAGTCTTGGACAGAATTTGAGGTGGCACGATTTAATTGGGTGCCGTCAAAAGGGGCCCCATATGGGCGTAAGAGCTACATGTACATGCGGCCTATATATTCGAGGCGGCGGTTGGGGGTTGATCGGTTGATCACTTGATCACCACAACACATCAAATGTCATAATGAAATAATCTTTCTTTTTAGAAAAAAAAACTACTCCGTAGGACTTTTATAATTTTTGCACGAAATTTAAATATAAATTTGAGTTTTTTTTATAAATTATTAATAAAATTTTATGGTGGATCTAAGGTTCACTATAGACCTACATATGAACAAAATAAATATTTTCGTATTGCTTAAATAAGCAATTTATTTTTTTAATAAAAAATAAATTTTTGTGTGAAAAGGTCCACAAAAATAGTATGCACCTAAGGTGCATCATAGAAGCACTCAAATTATTAAGATAAAAAAATTAAAGTAGGAGTAAAACAATAAAAATATACCAAAATATAAGTTCCATGTTTATATTCTCAAAATTACCTTATTAATCATGATCATGTACATTACTAAAAAATTTGTAAAATGTAAATGTAGAGTGCCACATTACCACAGTGCAAAATCTTATTTAAGAAATAAAAATATGAAACTCTTATTTTGATAGTTTCTCTATGTTTTACTTTTATTTAGGATGATTTCTTAATTATTAATAACATGGACAAGGTTTCCATAATACTCACGCCGTCTAACAATAAACTTCTCATTTTGAACAACGTGCAAAATCCTTTCATTTTTAATATTACTTTATTTATAAATTAGTACATCATAAGAAAGTACAAATTACATTGTTCAAAACTATCAAAAGTTCTACAAAACAAGATATGATAGAAATATTTTATTTTATCAAATAATTGATGAAATTATGCAAACAAACATAAGTTATCGAGAAGGCGTAATAGTAATTGAAAACTTTATTGTTGGACGGAAGAACTATTGAGTTCCAGTGTTAGAATTTACATTGGCTCCCGATTGAGGAACCCAGTTCATAAAATTTATAATCTCTACCTTCTAAGTCCCTCGAAATACTTCTCATCCTAGCCATACTTGATCTCACCTCACCCAACTCAATTGCAACACGTAAAATTAGTTGACTTTTAGATCAAAAATTTTGATCACAAAGGGAACTAAATTTGAAAATTAAAATACAATTGAATTGAGTGGAATGAGCTTAATTGGATGGACGATGTTAAGGGGTTTACCAACGAATTAGGTAAGTGGAAATCGTTATTTTTATGAATCCAGCAATGTAAGTATTTAATTAAAACTAGTAAAATTTGCACTAAATAGGACTACAACATAATAACTTTTTTAATCTAGGACTTAAACTTTTTTATTCCCTAAATAGAACTTATTAATGTCTTGGTGGGAGGAATAATGTTCAGTAATGATGGACATTTACTTGAATAATGACTAATTCATAATGACCAAAAGTCCTACATTGGGAAATAAAAACATATGGTCCTATATTGGAAAAGTCATTATATTTTAGTCCTATTTAAGTAAATTACTCTTAAAACTAATATCATCTCATCCTATGTCATGAAATCGAAAAGTAATAATATCAGGAGTATATTTAACAAATAATGTAATCTTATTTTACGGTGGGGATCCCATGACATTGAACTCCATGTCATGGGATGACTCAGGGGCACTCCAGTAGTACCCAGTTTGTAAAATTGACGATTTCAAACCCCATAATCCCCCGGCATCAAACTCCCTCGCCCCGTCCCGACCCCAACACACACCCCACCCCTTCAATTTTACCCAACAAGTTATTTTTGACTTTGGAGTCAAAATTTGATTTCAAAGTCAAAATTAACTTATGAGGTGTAATTGAAGGGGTGGGGGTATGTTCGGGTCGGAACGGGGTGGGAGGGTTTATCGGGGGAATTTGAAGGGAAATGAACCGTCAATTTTACGAACGGGGTACCGGGCAATGTCAACATTCCCCCTTATTTTAATACACAAACATACATACTAGACCTGACAATAAATGACTCGACCTAATTTTGACCCGAGACCCAACCCGAAAATACTGGGTTTTGAACAAAGATTTTTTCATACCGAATCCGAAGTTGATCGTATTCAAAATTACCCGTCAAAAATGGGTCAAACCCGATCAAACCCGAACTTGACCTGACCGACCCGCTGATGTGAGAATTTTTCAAATCATATGTTTAATATGTAATATAATGTTATAAAAATAGATTTTAATTATTTTTCTTTGCTTTCTACTCATTTTTAATGTATAAATTTATATTTTCATATAAAATTTTAATGATATCGCATAATCTTACTTTTTTAAAAAAAAAATTCTGCATATTTAGTTTTTTATTCGTAATATTGATAATCGGTCATAAAAATTACTTAAAATTTCAAAAAATAAACGAAAGTCATAACCCGTTGGGTCGACCCAAACCCAATGAAATTGGGTTATGAACATGTAGTTCTCAAATGTGAACCCAAACTTACCCGAACCTGAAGTAATCTAAACCTAAAATGATCAAACCCAAACCCGATTTGATCAACCGTTTTACCAGCTCTAATACATACTCATCTATATAAGGCATTGAATGGGAGTAGATCGACCAAAATGTCAAATAAGGTGACGAGTAAAGCCAAAGCTTCTACCCTAGGAAATGGAGTCCAAACAACCTAAACTTTTCAAAACCTATGGGGATGCCCCTAAATTTTCCCTTCTCGATCGAGGTTTTAGTCATCTTTGCTTGAGAAAATATTCCCCATCCAATTAATCATCTCACTTTTTTTTCTCGGTCAGTTTCAAAAATTATTCTAATCTCATTTTCTAACTTTTTCGATAAAGTAAATAATATGTGGTCCATGATTTTTTTCTTTGTTCTAAATTAATTCCAATCATTCACATTTTATTTTTTAATATTTTTCTAAAACTCCGTGAAGTGAAACTTCGACAATAAAGAAAAAATAACAAATTAAAACTGTTTTTGTTAAATGTAAAAAAAACAAATAAAAGCTATTTTTGTTATAACATAAAATAAATTGTGGTGAGTTTCGATCAGGGGAAGGTTTGGTTTTCTTGACTCGATTCTTACCCAGAACCGAAAACTGAAAAGGTAAAAGTTTGGTTCGATTTTATTAAAAAAATATGGAAACCATTGCTTGTCCGGTCGATTTTTTGCGATGTGTTTTTTTAATTTTTTCATTTATTTAAAAATACCTTTGTAAATTAATAATTAAAAATATCTAGTGACACAATTTAAAAAAAACACTCTCTTAAAAATTTATATATAAAATGAAAAACATGTTTAATGAAATTGAAAAACATTACAATATTTCATGCAAAAATGTAAAAGACTAATAATTAATGTCAATAGTGATACGCTAAAATATTTCATGCAAATTTAAATATGTAAAAGATCAATAAGCAAATATTACATTCAAAACGTGTTTAAGTTATTAGTGCTTATATTCTTTGTTTTGTACTCCCTCCGTTTGGAAAAACACTTCCCATTTGGATTTGGGGCAAAAATAAGGAAGTGTTAAATTATAGTTGATTTTCAATTTTGCCCTGATGTGATGGGTAAAAGTAAGATATGATGGATAGATTATTAGAGAAAAAGTATGATGTGATAGGTAGGGTATGAAAAAGTAAGGGTAAAAGTGGTTTTTTAATAGAAAAGGGAAGTGTTTTGTTGGAAGTGGAAAAAATGAAAGAGGAAGTGTTTTTGAGAACGGATGGAGTATTACATTGTATTTATATTAATATACTTAAAAGAATATATATAAAGCTGAGGTGATGAAATTTTAATTTAATTGTGTGATCAATTATTTACATTTATATTTATTTTTAATTTTTTTATATATCAAGCACAAAATGATTTGATGTAATTTCAGAAAACTTGGTTTATTCAATTCGGTACAATTTTATGGGGTGAAAGCCAAAACCAAAATCATACACTAATAATTTTGTTTTTAGTTTTTGGTTTTCCAAACCCTAGTTTCGAATATTAGATTTTCCCATGAACAAAATACAAAATTTTTAAATCGTTATAATTTTTAAACAAATTGAGATAAATCTCTAACAAAAGCTGTATGGGCTTTATGAAAATTATTTTCAAAATTAATTTCTGAGGGGATCTCTTTAAGAGCTTTATGAAAATTATTTTCATTAAATCACAAAAATAAGAATCCTGATATGTTTTTGAACATCCAAATTATTAATAATTAAATATGTGAATCTCTAAAATCCTCCACACAAGAACCAAATTCTAATTGATTTTTCAAAAAAAAAACCAAATCACCCCTTAATTACAATACCATTTTTAGTGGATTCAAAAAAAAAACTTTGCAAAAAAAAAGAGGGCCCACAATGAACAAAAAAATCCGAATTACATCCAGTCTCCTAGGGCTCCACCACCCAATGGACCTTAGCCAAGTATCCTGATGACCTTCTTCACTATATATATATATATATATATATATATATATATATATATATATATATATATATATATATATATATATATATATATATATATATATATCCCAAACTATATAAAACCAAACCAAACCAATTCAATTAGCCACTTCATTTCATTTCTCTCTTGGGAAAAACAAAAACAAAAAAAGCAAAAGAATGGCTTTGTTCATTGCCAGTACTGTTGCAATTATTTCTGCTGTGTGCTTCTTCTTCTTCTTCTTCATCACTGCAGCAGCATTACTAAAATGGAATGAAAGCTTTAGGTTTAGGAAGCACAAAAGGCTCCCCCCTGGCACTATGGGTTGGCCTCTTTTTGGTGAGACATCTGAGTTTCTTAAACTTGGCCCCATCTTCATGATGAACCAGAAATCCAGGTATATATGCTACACATATCTCCGTTTTTGAATATTTGTCTAGTTTTGATTTTTTCAGTTTCTGAATATTTGTCTACTCTTGATTTTTGGCAGTAAACCAATTTCAATCTTTGATCTATAATTAAATAAAATATGGGTATATGATATACTCCCCCGTCCCATAAATCCCTTCTTGTTTGAAAAAAATCACGCCTTTAAAATGAGTCATTTCTGTGTTATTTTCTAATTATAACTCGTCTATACTACTCTATTACGGAGTATAAAGTAAAGGCAAAAATTAAAAAAAAAAACATCAAAATTGCTCATTTTAGGAGTGCATCTTTTTTCAAATTTGAAGAGTTTTATGGGATGGATGGAGCACTAATTAGACAACAATATTACTCCCTCTGTCTCAAAAAGACGTACCCATTTCATTGTTTGTGCATCACATAAAATACTTTTATCCCGTCTCAAATGCTAAAAAAACATTTAAAACTTCTACCCACAATAGAGGGTAAAAATGATAAATTTTAGGCATTTTAGATGTGAGTGGAAGTGATTTATGGGATGGTTAAAAAATAAAACGAGTGTTTCAAAGTACTCTATGAGATAAATCTAATAAAATTATTCTTGTATCGAAATATGTCACAGGCATGGTGCATTTTTCAAGTCACACATATTGGGGTGTCCCACAATAGTGTCAATGGAACCAGAGGTGAACAGATACATACTGGGGAGCGAGGGGAGGGGGGTGGTGCCCGGCTACCCGAAGTCCATGGTGGACATTCTGGGCAGGCACAACATAGCTGCCCTACATGGCTCAGCCCACAAGCGCATGAGGGGGGCTTTCCTCTCCTTGGTCTCCCCTCCCATGATCAGGCACTCCCTCCTGCCCAAGATTGACCAGTTCATGAGGTGCCACGTCAGCTCCTGGGACTCCCACGTCAGCATCGACATCCAGGAAATGACCAACAAGGTTCTTTTTCCTTTCTTTTTTTGTTTTTTTTAAAATTATTTTTCTCCAATTTTTGGAAGAGATAAAATGTGAGTGGAAAGAAAATTAAGGGTAGAAAATAAGGAGGTGAGTGAAAGTTATAAAATTAAATAAGGGTCCGTTTGGTATACAGAATTGATGAAATTGGAATTGAATTGGAATTGAAATTTCATGGGATTCAATTCCATAGAATTGAATTCTGTCAATTCGAATTCATTTTTTACACTATCAATTCCAAATCTACATAATTTTTGTGCTACCAAACACTAGAATTGGAATTGAAGTCCTCAATTCCTATTCCATAGTTTGAATTCCACGTACCAAACGGAGCCTAAGGAATTTTAAATAGTACTATGGGGTACTCCGTAATACTCCTAATTAATTACTCTTCCGTTCCAAAAACTCCTTTCCATTTTATTTTTCTTGTCCTTCAAAATCTTTTCTTTTTCTATTAAAAAACTAATTTTATAGAAATCACCCTAAAATCCTAAATATGACTAAAACATAAAGAAAAGTATTAAAATAGGACTTACATGTTTTTTCTGAAATATGACTTCATATTGTGGTAATGTGGTTGTAATATGGTATTCTACATGTGCACATTACTATATTTTTTAGTAATGTACATGACTATGTTTGGTGATGTAAATGCATTTTAAGTCTTACTTCGGGAATAAAAACATGATTGACATATTTTCAATGTTTTAGTCCTACTTTGGTCTTTTTTCGCTAATTTTATTCTTACAAATTCTCAACCTACTTATCACATCATACCTTCTTATTAATAATTTACCTATCATATTTTACTTTTACCATCACATCAAAGGTATTTTTAGAAAGTCAATACCAAACTATTCTTACCTTAAATTTTCTAAAATTCAAAACAGAAACATATTTGGGAAAGATGAAGGAAAGTAGATATGTTTGGAAAGTAGGGATTTAAATAGGTCGGTAAGTAATTAAGAAAGAAAAAAAGGAAAATTTGAAGAGTAATTAATTACTCATGGCTATGTTTGGAAAGGTGAATTTAAAAAGGAATGATCGAAAAAATTCAAAAAAAGAGATCATAAATTTTCCAATCAAATTGGGAAGAAAATTCAAAGAGTACTCCGTAATTAATTTTATAACCAACATATAAATTATGTGATAAAATAAATGTATTTCGTTCTACTACTAGAATATGTTATCGTGACTTGAAGAACTAGTTGTGACTTTCTAAAAATTGAAAGATTAATTGTACTTAACATATGGGCACCTCATTTTTTGAGTTTGGTGCAGGGAAAGTTTTTGGTACGTAGTACGTCATCAGTAGTAATGGGCTTGGTTGAACTTTTTATACCATCCAAATTGTAATTCGGCCCAGAGAATATGTTCAATGCTCTTTGGATGGTATAATTTATTTAAATCATCGAAATTGTAATTCGGCCCAGAGAATAATTTATTAAATAAATTATGATTTTAAATTTTATTGCAGATGGCATTTCATTCAGCTCTGAAGCAAATTGCAGGCATTGAATCATCTTCAATGGCCCAAGAATTCAGTTCTGAGTTCTCAAAGCTTGTGCTGGGAACTCTCTCTCTCCCCGTAAATCTCCCCGGCACGAATTACCGTCGCGGGGTCCAGGTAAAAACGTCACGTTTTTCTCTTTTAAAATGCGACGTTTCTTTTTTGGGAGAAAGACCAAAGTATCACTAAAAAATTGAAACTTTACCAAAATAGGACTTCCATGTTTTTATCATGAAATAAGACTTACATTACCTAACATGGGCATGTACATTACCAGACAAGTATAGTAATATGCACATGTACAATAAGACATTACCACAGTGTAAAGTCTTATTTTGGGGAAAAAAACATGAAAGTCCTATTTTGGTACTTTTTCTCTATGTTTTAGTCCTATTTAGGGTGATTTCTATTCCTTTTGTGGTGTTAAGTAGAGATGTTTTGAACGTAACAGGCGAGAAAGAACATGGTGAATTTGCTGGAGAGGTTGATAGACGAGAGGCGGCGTTCTGGGGAGACGAGAGAGGACATGTTGGGATTATTGTTGGCGATGAACGACGAGGAAAACCGGTTCCGGTTGAGTGATGATGAGATGGTTGATCTGATCATAACCATTTTGTACTCTGGATATGAAACTGTCTCCACCACTTCTATGATGGCTGTCAAGTATCTCCATGACCATCCACATGCCCTTGAAGAGCTAAGGGCAAGTAGTGTAAAATAATGCACCAATTCATTTTATGTTTCAATGTTATATCGGGTCGATTCTCTTGACATTGACCATGGATTTCATATTTTCTGTCTATTGACATTTTTTAGATACATTGAAAAATGAATGAATGTAGACATACAATATGTCTATATTCATTTACGTTTTTGATGTATATAAAAAACAACCATAGACAGTTAATATGAAATGAATGAAGCATGACACTGGTCTATTCGAAGACCGTACGATATTTCGATCAATGCATAAGTGATTCCTACCTCCTAAACACTCACCACGTAGATTGTCCTTTATTGTTGAACATATAAAATTTTGCAGACAGAGCATTTCGCGATACGTGAAAAGAAAGGACCGAATGACCCCATTGACTACGATGATTACAAAATGATGCAATTCACCCGAGCTGTAAGTACATAAATTACATTATTCCGCGACCCGAGATATTAGCTCTCAAAATGTGATTTTTCTGTTACACTTTTAAACAAGTCAAAGAAGAAAAAAAGATCAAATTAACATAAACCCTTCCAATAACATTGTTAATTAACCTACTTATAATGCAGGTGATCTTTGAGACTTCTCGGCTAGCCACAATAGTAAACGGAGTCTTGAGGAAGACAACTAGGGACATGGAACTTAACGGTGTGTTTGGATTAACATTTTTCTATTTTTGCAAATATTTAGGATCAAGCCAAAAGAGATGGACATGAACAACTATCTTTATCCTCATGGGCCAAAAAAATCAAATAAATTGTTCAATATGTAGGTCTGTTTCAGAATAGTATTAAAGATTAACGTTAGCATTTTGAAAAGTCTACCTACATACCGCGTTTACCGTTAGCGTTTTCAGACTAATCTGTACCATTAAAACTTTTTCCAAAATTTTAACGTTAATATCTAACGCTATTTCCAAACAGGCCCGTAGTTTGGGAGAGGGGATTTGAAATCCCAAATATACCCTCCTTGGGTCATTGTGCCTAAATGTTAAGCCACATCCCAAAGTGAGTGAGAGAGAGAGAGAGAGTAAAACCACACATTTAAACCTAAACAATGTTTATGTGTGCAAGAAAGGAAGTTTCTCAAAAAGGGGAACACCACCAAACAGTTCTTTAATTATTTCATAATAAAGCATTATTAGGGTATTTATTTATTTATTAATATGTTTTGTGCAGGTTATTTTATACCAAAAGGATGGAGAATATATGTGTATACAAGAGAGGTTAATTATGATCCTCAGCTTTACCCGGATCCATACACTTTTAATCCATGGAGATGGATGGTAAGTAGTAAAAAAAGGAGTTTGATTACCTACAAAAAGTGAATTTTTTTTATTTATGGGGTTTTAAAATGAATTATAAAAATGCAGGAAAAAGGATTAGAGAGCCAAAATAACTTTCTTTTGTTTGGAGGAGGAACTAGGCATTGTCCTGGAAAGGAACTTGGAATTGCTGAAATATCCACTTTCCTTCACTACTTTGTTACTAGATATAGGTTGGTACAATTATTATTATTATTATTATTATTATTATTATTATTATTATTAATGGTTATTATTGTTTGTTAAATATTGCAGATGGGAAGAAGTGGGGGGAGACAAGCTAATGAAGTTTCCAAGAGTTGAAGCACCAAATGGACTACACATAAGGGTTTCAGCATACCATTAATATATATGTGTATCATCACTCTATATATTTCAATTTCATAACAAATAAATATATATTGTATAAAGAATAAGAAGAAAAAAATAAGGTAGATGAGATGAGAGTGAATTGGAGAAG